AAAGCTATTGGGAAAATTGAGTTAGGATACGCAGGTGCTGCATTCAGGAACTTGTTATTGAAAGTTTTTGTGAGAATCAAGTGCATAACAGTGTGATACCGTGAAGAACTAGGCAGGATCAATCACAACTCCGTGCATGTGGGACAGAAAGTCATGAACTGAGTAGTGAAGACACTCCCCGGGGGACCAATGAAGGCTACAGGACAGCACACAGACCTGAGGTCTTGCCTCCTCCTGCTGCCAAGAGGATACCTTGACACCAACTGAGAATAAAGGCAGGTGGGTCCCATAAGAGAAATAGTTTGAGAAGAACTTTATCTTGATTGCTCCTTGTTTTAAACCAGATGAGATCATTGACTTTGAATCACAATGTTTTTTCTCTTTCTTTCCTGCTGTGAGAACAAAAGCTTAGATCAAGATGAAATCAACAAAGACATTTTTACATTACGTATATACTCAAGGAACTAAAAATAATTGTTTTATTTTATTATTTTATTTCATTCTCCACTTCCCTCCCTCCAATAAGACTGTTGATAATCTTGGTGAGACTGAGGAAAACAATCCCTTTTACATTGAATACATTTATGTGTCCCCTGTTGTTTTTCTCATACTCCAGGACTTTTATTATATTAAAAATCACAATTGCTAGTTTTGTCACTTGTTCAAAATCACTGCCTAAGCTCTGAACCAAGACTCAGAGCTCTCTGTGGAAGGTTTTGCTTTCCCCTAGTGTTCTGCAGACAACTGGCAGTTGTTAGTGGAAAGAGCTGTGTGATGTCACATTGTTCTAACCTCTTAAATAACATGTTTCACACCTAAAGTCATTCAGATAGCCACGTCCTTTCTAGGGTAACATGGTTCCCAGTTTCTGTGATATTATAGTCATGTAGTACCATGAGGGACACATTAACTTCCTTTTGGACAACAAAATATTTCCTATTCAGAATTCAAACTGAAATAGATTTTCTTTCTTAGGCATGATCGTGGCACCAGGTCTCTCCCCGACTGCTGCTTGGAATGGACTGGGCTGTATGGAACTTATACAAGGCCCTTGGGGAGAAGCTAGAAGTAGAAAAGTCAGAGATGCCTTACCAGTAACTCTTTTTGAGAAGTCCAGGGTGCAGGTTATTTTTTGAGTTTGTTACATAAGTAACCATAGAGAGGATTCGTTTTCTTTGGAGGTTGGTTAAAGAAGGAGCACATTAGAAAAAGGAGCTGGTCCCAGATAATCCAGAGCTGTCAGTGGCAAATAGCATGGAGGAAGGAACCAAAACCCTGCAGCAACCTGGGGTTAAAGGATCTTTCAAGGAAATAGTGTCCAGCTATTTGTTGCTATTGCTGTGAGTTGGTTGTTTTCTCAGACCACAGAATCCCCTCTCTCTTCCCTCTGAGTATATAACAAGAGGGAAAAGGCTTTAAATTGTAGTAACAATTTTGGGGGCATCTTTTAAAGGTAAGTGGCAAAATTTGAAATGATTTCCTAAGTGCCCAGAGCTACTAATTTTTGAGCAAGTTTTCAAAGCCAGATTGATCTGATTCCAAACCCTCACTTCTCATCCTCTATTATGTGGCACTTTTCTTGAGGAAGAGGTTGGGCTAGGGGAGTGAGATGGTTATGTCCCAGCTCTGAATGAATTCACTGGGTTGAAGTGTTTTATTCAAGACAAACCAAAGAAGCCAAGCTTTGACTGCCATCTAGTGGTCAGTTGTTTGTTTTACGGAAGTAAAGTAGATTTTTTTTTTTTTGTCTTCACTGAAAACCCATATTTGTAGAGGTGTACACTAAGAAAGGAAAAATGCTAACTAAAATCTTATGTGTGATCATATCACACAGAGGAATCTTAAAGGACTGGGATAACTAAAATGATTGTTCTACCAATGGAAAGATTTGATGCTCAGCAAAGATTCATAAAAGTAGTAAAAAATTTGAATACCCTATTTAGGCTTCTTTCATACTCATTATTTCTAGAGTGCCAATAATAAAGCATATATGAAAAAAAAAAAGCTCCAAAATCATGCTGTCTGGGCTTGGAGGTTAGTTCCATCCCTTACTAGCTCAGAAGCCTTGGTCAAGTCACTTAATCTTCCTGAATTGGTTCACTCTTCTGTGAAGAATCATCACACAGAACTGTCGAATGGCGAAATAATTAGGAAAGTGGTAAGTTGAAACAGTGCATGTTACATCATATTGACAGGATTCCGATTTCTGTTTTGTTTTTTTTTTTAAGATGAACACAATATCTTTATTTATTTTTTATGTGGTGCTGAGGATCAAACCCAGTACCTCACAAGGGCAAGGCAAGTGCTCTACTGCTGAGCTATAATCCCAGCCCTCTTTTTAAGTATTTTTTTTCATTGTTATTAGTGTTTCTTTTTTTTTTATTGGTTGTTCACAACATTACAAAGCTCTTGACATATCATATCTCATACATTAGATTGAAGTGGGTTAGGAACTCCCAATTTTTACCCCAAATGCAGATTACAGAATCACACAGATTACAGAATTACACATCCACAATTTTACATAATGCCCTATTAGTAATTGTTGTATTCTGCTACCTTTCCTATTCCCTACTATCCCCCCTCCCCTCCCCTCCAATCTTCTCTCTCTACCCCATCTACTGTAATTCATTTCTCTCCTTGTTTATTTTCCCATTCCCCTCACAACCTCTTATATGTAATTTTGTATAGCAATGAGGGTCTCCCTCCATTTCCATGCAATTTCCCTTTTCTCTCCCTTTCCCTCCCATCTCATGTCTCTGTTTAATGTTGATCTTTTCTTCCTGCTCTTCCTCCCTGCTCTGTTCTTAGTTGCTCTCATTATATCAAAGAAGACATTTGGTATTTGTTTTTTAGGGATTGGCTAGCTTCACTAAGCATAATCTGCTCTAGTGCCATCCATTTCCCTGCAAATTCCATGATTTTGTCATTTTTTAGTACTGCGTAATACTCCACCAGCCCCTCTATTTCTAAAGATAAGCCTTGGTGTAATTAAACAGACCACTTAAAATCCAGTATAAAATATTTAACATATTTGAAGAGCCTAACAGAGTTCCTGGAATAGCTACTTAATAACAATTGGTATGATAGCAGTGGATTTCAACTAGGATACTTAAATATTTGAAGAGGAGAGATGAAAAGGCAGAAGGGGGTCAAAAACACAACCTTGCTTTGTTATTTTATTAATCCATCTACAAAACATTTATGGAGAGTCAGGCACAGTGGTGCACACCTGTAATCCTAGAAGCTTGAGAGGCTGAGGCAGGAGGATTAAAAGTTTGAAGCCAGCCTCAGCAACTTAAGGAGGTTATAAGCAACCTAGTGAGACCCTGCATCTAAACAAATTAAAAGGGCTGAGGATGTGGCTCAGTGGTTAAGCATCCTTGGATTCAATCCCCAACCCCCTAACCCCCAAATTATTGATTGTGAACTATATGCTAGGTTATCTTAGGCCAGCCCACAATGTCAGCTGGTTTTGTGTGTGTGTGTGTGGAAATCTATACTGATGGTGTAAATGCAATGGTGGGTAGAATTGCTGTCTCAGCATGCAATTGGTACTCAACTGTTATCATCAAACACCCATAATAAGGAAATGCCTTGCTTTGTCCTACTCTGTTCAATATAGTTTTTCTCATAATTTCATGATGCATTAATATGGAGGTTCAGAAAATATTGTAATTCCCAGACTCAGTCTCTCTTGAATCTTAGTAATAGAATCTTGAAAGTAATAGAACCTAATAAATCTATTTGAGTTAAACTGTCATCTGCTTTTACTTCTTAGAATAGAACTAAATTTGAAGACTTTATCCTCACATAAAACATCATAAGGTTTGAATTGGACAATTTCTAATATCTCCTCAAACACTAAAATTCTATAGTCAAGTTATCACCATGTGCCTGCAAGGCTTAATTTTTGTCTAATGTTTATGCAGGCCAATAAAAAGCAACTCAAAATTTTTAGATTTTTTTTAACTTAAATGATTTGACATACTTATATCTATACTCCTTCATAGTTACTTCATAGTAATTTTTAGAAAGTCTGAGGTTTGTATGTGGCATATTTCCAGCATGAATACATGGGGCATGTTTAGGTTTTTTGATTTGTTTTTGTACTGGTGAATGAACCCAGAGCTTTACAATGATTGGCAAGTGCTTTCTACCACTAAATGAGATCCTTGGTGCCTTGCTATCTATATTGATTCAATCTTTTCTATAACTGTCAGGACTTTTTCAGTTGTAACCCAGAAACCCAACAAGCTTATGAGCAAATTTGTGCTTCAGGAACCAAGCAACAGGTAACTGAGGTTCCAGAATGACTATAATCAGTTTCAAAATCCTTTTACGATTCTGTTTCCATCTCAATGCTTTACTAAATTTTGTTCTTTCCAATTAGCTTTTCCATAACAGAAAAATATAAGTAAGGAGAGTTTTCAGGCTGACACTAGCTTTTTGTTTCCAAATTCCAAAATCTTGCTCTCTGATTAACTTTAAAACTCAATTTGAGCTAAGTACTCTACCTACTGAGAGCAATTATTAGAAGGTAGAAACTAAGATGATAGCAGCTACCATTCAAAGAATATAATACAGATAGATGAATGTAGTATCTCCCCATATAATGTGATACTGTACTCAAAATCAAAGGGAGTGAAAATATACCTCCTCTCTCTTAACCTTATCCATCTTATTACATCACATCCAACACTGTAAAATGCTTTTTTGAAACTTCATTTTTTTCTGAACCAACTGTATCCCAAGCACTTCACAAAGCATTTATATAAATCACTTCAAATTATCCCCATAATCCTGGGAGGTAGGAAATGTCTTACAGTTTCAGATGAAATGACATATTTCGAAAGATACAAGAAAAGTCACACAGGCCTAGAAGCTTTAATACTTTCATTTTCTATTTGTTTCTTTTATTTGGAAAATTCAAATTATAAATATTCATCACTCTAAAATAAACATATGCTAAAGTTAATAATAACAAAAACTGACAAAAATAGCGATACGATTCTTTTATTATTGAGTTTTATTTTGAGGAAAAAGCATCCTTTTTTTTTTACAACACTTTTACAAGTCAGTAAATATACTATTCTGAGATTCCTCGTGTATGCTTGTGTGTGTGTGTGTGTGTTGGAATGTTAGATTACAACAGCAACCACATTATATAATAGTTATTAAAGGCAAGCCAGGCTAAAACAAGGATAAAATTTTATAGCTAAAAATATTCATAGCAGCAACTTTAAAAAGATGATTTTATTAAGTCATTGCACTTGGTCATTTTATTGCTACAGCAAAACAAGGCCATTCAATTATAACACTTCTCGTTTTGGATTTTAACTGATTGTCTCATTCTGCTCATACATTTCAAGTTTAAATGCAAGCATAAAAAATTTACCAAAAAACTTACAGAGCACTTGAATTTTTTTCTCCCTGTAATCACAGTAAGGAGCTAATTTTAAAAAGAAAAAAAAAAGGATCCTCTGTTCCACAAGACCCATTCTCTCTCTGCATTTTTAGACTCTTCAGTAAAGTTCTATAAAATTCTGTAGAGGTAACAGCTTTATAAGACAGAAGCTTAGTGGTCACAACACAAAAAAGTAACATTGAATACAATTAGAAAATTAGTATTATGTATTTCAAAGCATAGCAAACCTGAACTATATATTCACTAATAATTTGGCAACAACAGACTCATCTTTTCTGTCATTTATACTCACAAATAGGGAGTGGAGTGTGGGAACTAATGTTTCACCTCCAATAAAAGCTATTACTATTACATACCATTTTGTGACATGAAATTTAGGAAAGTCTTCATATCAAGAGCAAATACTGGTAAACTATGATAAAGGAGTCGTTTCCCCCTTAATTTCAAGCCTGCTTGGTTTTCCTTACATTTTGTCAAGGGTAGAAAAGCAGAGAGAACTTCAATAAGTTTTATAATCTGAGAAGTAGGAAAGTCAAATATATTACAGAAAAATGACCAAAAACCTTCATGAATAACCTGAAATCTGCTGGAACCTTCTCTCACCCCATTGTTATGGTAGGTAGGGATAACTTAGTACATCTTCCAATGAGAAAGCTGGAAGATATGGTATCTAGGATGCAGTATTTTTATTTTTACCTAAGGACTGTCATTAATTGATAATATAATTTATTTAACAAGGCAATCATTCATTTGACTAATCATTTTAAAAACAAAAAGGAACAATTTTGTTCAGTAGTGATCTCATTAGAAGAGCCCAAAGACATTAAATAGTTAAAATGTACACACTCAAAAAGCAAAATTAGCTTTCCCCCAAAGCCCAAACATTGTGACTTAAATATAAAATAATTGTGTATTGGCATTTCTATTATTTTCTACTTCAGTTCTTTTTATATCTTTTTTAAACAGTAAGAATTTCATTTACACAAGATTTCCATACTTTTGAGATTTAAAAAATGTAAAGAAAAAACATTGGGTGGTTTAAAACAAAAACAAAAAAAAGGAAGCATGATAACTTGGTACTCAAAATCATTTCCTATAGTACAGCTGGAAGCCTTTTTTTTTTCAAATGAAAAATTTCAAAATTTTAAATAAACCTATAAGTTTTTAGACAAATTACGTATAGAATATAACATTCTGAAATGTTCAACTGTTCATAAATGACTCTGAAGAAATTGCTGATTCACCCACTCTGTGAAAATGTGGTTTTCAATATGATCAACTATATTTGGTTTAAATAAGCTGTAATGTTATATTTTATGATATACTAACACCCTTTCTAAACTTTTAACCTAAATAACATTCCAAAATATCTCCAGGAGTTAGTTTGGCCTATTATGGAAATTATACACTGTAAAACCTGAGTATTTACATAATGACAACTTGTCCCAGTATGAAGCCTTATATGAGGTTCTGAAAAGATTTGGATTTTGTTTTCCTAATATTACATTATTTAAAGTCAGAGGGAAGAGTATGAAGAACTAAAGATAATGAAATATTTGAGACTGCAAAACAAGCAGGAAAGTATAGCAATAAGGCTGGTGTTTACTATTTCATATGTGCTGTAGTTTCTAGGCACAAGTAAAGGATTAAATTGATGTTTTTAGATTCCTTAGAATTAATGAACTTATAATAAAGCTCATGTTTAATAATCCATTACATTTTAACTAAATTCCTTTTATGAATCCTATAGTGCAAGCAATATAAAACACTCAAAGTTGAAACTGTTTTTATTATTTCATTAGTTATTACTGTATGCATGGGTGAGTAATCTGATTTATAGCTAGGAAACTCCTATTTCATCACCCAAATTAAAAACAGCACTGCAGACAAACAGGCAAAACAGTGTAATCTTGGGTAAGAAGCTAAAAGTAAAAATATGTATATATTTACAAAGTTTATATCCCTTAATGTATCATGGGAAAAGTAGTGACTATAGTTACTATAAAGCTAATTTGTCGCTCTCAAATAGTTTATCTTACAGATTACTTGTAAAGATATCACCATATTTATAGTATAGATCTCTTTAAAAATAATACTACAAGTTTCAATAAAAAATTATGAACTTTCTTTCCTTTTTATACAGATTCAGTAGTATTTTCAAGCAAACAAACAAAAATAATGTTTGCAATCCCAGCACAGTAAGAAATAAGGCCTCTTTTTTTTCATATTGGCAAAACTAAATATATATATATATATTAAAAAAACACCCACCCCCTTACTTTTTAATAGATAATATAGTTCATATACTCATATTTCATTATCACAACATCAGCGTTTGAAATTTTTAAGTAACAAGTCGATGGAAGTTCATATTGTTGTATCTGAGTCCCTGGAACACTTCAAGAAGACAGGACAGCTTTTTTCAGTTTCTCTATTTCCATCTAAAATAAATATAAATTGGGAAACGGATAAAATATACATTCGTGCAAATTATTTTGACATATGTTATTAACATTTGATCATACTTTTTAAGCCAGTAGATTTTAATTTCCAGATCTAAAATCCAGTTTCCCATGGTGTAATAAATATTGAGTAAATGCTCAACAGAAGAAAAATGTCACAGTACAAGTTCCAAAGAAGCACTGAACAACAAGAAAAATATCAACTATAATTTTTACAGCCAGAACAATATTAAGTAATGTGAAATTTAAAAGAATTTTTAAAAAATTATTCTATAAAAAACAAAAGAACTCTGGAAATCAAATTTAAAAATGTACATTTAAACAAAGAGGGCAGTGTAGAATAGTATAAAAAATAAAGGACCAGTTTATATTCCATGATTTTCACTATCTATGTATTACTGGTAAATTGCTTAACATTACTTCCTTTCAAATTCCCCACCTATAAACAGAAGGTACTAAATTGTCTCTAAAGCCCAGAAATATATCCAAGATTCAGACAATGTGTTAGAAATATTTCCACCTTTAGGAGAAGGGCCCCTTCACTTAAGAGAAAGGAAAAAAAATGATCATAATGACTACAAAGAGATACTTTATTTTCAGATACTACAAATGACTAAGTTGAGGCTAAAAGACATTAAATAGTAAGTCAATATTTCTACATCAGTAACTGGTGGCATAGGATTTGTATTAGTAAAGTCTATGTCTATATTGTCCAGTTTTTGTACTGACTTTCTTCCCAATTCACCAATGTTTTCTTTACCTTTCACTTCCTTGCTTTTTCCTGATAATATTGCCTCTTTTTTAACAATGCACATAAGCAACGCGTGCATCAGTTAACCTCTGACTTAGTCGTAAAGTATAATTTTGATGTGGTCACAATCTCCTAAGTAATGCCAACCATCCAAATATGGTTGATTAACTTCAGGATCTCTCCTGATATCATTCTTAAATTTTCTTTTAATAATATAATTATGCACTAAATGTTTTGGCAGTATTGAATGAGAACAAGTCTCAATTTACAGTCTCAATTAGATAAAATATCTTTAAATCATCCTCTTCATGTAGTATTACTGTCTTGTTTCCAAAGATAAGTGAAAATAGGCAAGAATGCACAGAAAGCAGTAAGAAATAAGTTGGCAAAAGAGGGAATAAAAAGTGGGAGGAATAATCCTTCATTCAAAGTCAGTACTACTCCATACAAACAGTGATTTCTGACATAAATTTTAGTTATCAAGCAAAATCTTATATTGCTATCTACCTTCCTCATTGTTCCTTTTTTATCGCCCCCAAGTATAATTTAGTATTATATAGTACTAACATTATAGTATTTCAAAATACTACATCTAATCTTTCTGCAAACATTTCTTTAACTATATGATCCTAAAACTTTAATGACTTAAATGTGCTTTTACAAATACAGAGGTCAAACTTTGCCCATTAGGGGGAAAAAATACAGTTCAACAGGAGGGTAACATCTGACCACGTTGGAAAAATTAAATTCTTCAAAAAAGAATTCACTTGATTCCTTTCATAATTTTTATGACACAAACATTCCTCTTGCTTATCTTATTTTCATATATGAATATTAGCATGTATGTATAAAACAAAGTCAAGAAATTTTTTTTTTAATTTCTCAATTTCTACCAATTTACATGCTGTGAATTTAAGGTGTATTTTAAACACGTTTCCTCTAACATTCATTAATACAACAATAATTTATTAGGTGTCTAGTAAGTGTGTAGCACTGTTAGGAGTGATGGACAAAGATGAAACAGACATGGATCTCACTCTAAACAGCCTTATAATAAGGGACGGAACAAAACAAATAGTACAGTAATAGGATTGAAAATTATGATTTATACATGTCTTTAAAAACTAGAGGAAATGTAAATTTGGATGAAAATTAAAACTTCTAGTCAAAGGAAGACTACTACCAGCTTAATAAATATGATTCTTTGAGCAGGTCTTTAAGAATCTATAGAATGAGCATTAGAAGATGAGGCAAGAAGATAATTTAGGAAGAGTGAAAATTCAGATGTATCAACTTGTTAAGGCACAATGGAGGATCAGAAATTAAGAAAGGAAGATAAACTAGGACTAGATAATAGAAGACCTCACACACCAAGTTGAGAATTTTGAACTTCATTCAACAAGTAACAGAAAACTTTTGGAAGTACCTGAGCAATGAAAGATTAATCTGCAATAAAATTAGAGAAACTTGAGCAAGCTCAATAGAAAATAAAGCACATCAGAACAAGAAAGTGTTGACATAAAAGTTAGAAGGTAAAGCAAACAGAATTGAAAGTAATAGAATTAGAAGAGAGTCATGTATGTGTGACCAGAAGGGTAACAGAAACAGGAAGTCAAAAAAACAAAAGAAGAAAATAAAATATTTCCCTGGAGATATGGTAAGTTCACCATGTAACATCCAGGGAGACTAAAAGAAACTGGGAATACAAGAATTAGATTTAGAGGGAGATGCACTAAAGCTAATCACTAGATTCACTGTTGCAAATGAATTCAAACAGTGAATGCATAGAAAAAAAGAGCAAAGGATAGTAGTTAAGGAATATTTACATTTAAGGTTCAAGAAACAAAAAGGAAAGAGAAGTTAGACAAGGAACAAGTATCACCTTACTACAACAAACCTCTGACAAAGAGAAAACAGTAAAAATTTGAAATGTACAGAAATTGAAGAAGAGAAATTGGGTGTGGCATCAGTAAACCTAATAAAATGCAAGGGGTTAAAGAATGAAATGAAGGTAAAGACTCAGACACTGCAAATGTAGGCTTTTTGTGAGAGGGTAGAATGATAGTTATTTTTGTTTTGTAGGAAATGAACCTCAAATAAAAAGAGAAAACACGTACAGTAGATCAAAAGGGCAGTTAGACCCAGAAGAAGGCTTTGGTTTGAAGGGGGGAAATTGAATATTTTTATACAAAGAAACAAAAGCATCAAAAAAAAATAAAAACAATTTGTCAGATATAAGAGTAAATATGAAGTTTTCATAATACTTTGTAAATTGTATCTTTAAATATATTATTTCAACAACTAAAGTTAAAGAAAGTTAAGTGACTCACCCAAGTTTACCCAGTATGATAATTTCTAAGAGTAGGCATTTTAAAGTCTGGTTACTTCTGTTAAAAATTTTCAGTTCCACTGCTCTTATTTCACCATTCTAATCTCCAGTTTTCTCACCCTTATAAATAAAAACAATAATCCTTACAAGTCCTTATATGTATCGAATGAGATAATGAACAGAAAGAGCTAAGCCTAAATGATATAATTTAGGGTAGTCAAGACTATAATTCAGAATAGGAGCTCAAGTTCTATAACCACAGTCCCATGTTCTATCTTGACCTATGATGCTGACAAAAGAAACAGGCTAAGTAATGAGGTAAGGTAAAATGTAGAGAGGATATGAAATATTTCAATAGAGAATAAGAAGAGCCTCGGGGCGGGGTGGGGGGAAGCAAGATACAATTTTCTCTTACATATGTAGGAAGAAGAACACAAATGAAGACAAAAATGCATGAGCAGAGAAAGAAAGTTAAGGAAGAAAAAGGAATTAAATAAAATTGCCAGCCATCAGCAAAGAATAAAGGTAAACTTCTAGTGAGAACTGGAAAGCAATAACACCACCAGTCCTGCCTCAGGGAAAAAATAAACTGGTGACGTATGAGAAAAGAACAATATTTATTTTATTCACAAATATATACCTTCAGGCTTATGCACTGCCCTAGAGAGTTAATGTTCAAAGATGTTTTTCCGTTTGAATGAATGAAATATGACAGAGTATCAACAAGATATTTACAAAATTGATACCATGCAGTAGGGAATGTCCAAGTGGAATAGAATGGCGTAATTTGTAAAACCAATCACATAGTTGGGATAAAAAAAAAAAAAAAAAGTATAGTTTATACTGTCTAAAATCTCAATGCTGGGAGAAACAAATTACCTCTAGATTACTTCTCAAGGCCTTCTCTTCTTCCAAATCTTTTCTCAGTTTTTCCAGTTCTTTCCTAAAAAACAAAATATTTATTACTTCCAATTAAACAATATAGACGAGGCAAATAGACAAATTAACAGAATCTCTTCTGCCTAACCTCCCAGGTATATGAGGGAAACTAGCTATGTTGACTGATAAAATTTTCAGATGTTCTAGTTTCAACAATTCAATGTTAATAGTAAAAAAAAAAAAAAAAAAAAATGGAGCAAAACCCTGGCAAACTTATCTAAGATAAATTAAGTAAATTCAGAACAGCTTATGAAAAAAACAAAAAAGGAAATAATACATGGCTTTTAAAAGCAATTTTCCACATTCATCTAGTATATATTTTATTTTGGCTAGATACTTCAGAGCCAAAAACAATTTACAAAATAATATCAACAAGTCACAATAAAGGCAAATTACAATGTATCTGATAATTTCACCGATACTTTCCCTTTTTTAAATTAAATATTATATTAAAATTCAAACCAAACAGCAAAATTATTATAACCAATCTTTCTTAACTCGTAATTTTATTTTTCCATATTCAACTATTTTTTCAATAAAGATTCTATAAGTATATATTCCATATTGTGTCTTTTCAGAAATTATTTGAAAACATTTTCACTCTGCTTAAATTTTCATATTTATGCCATTTAGTATTCAAATATCTGTTTTTGATTTTTTTTAATTGAACTAAGAGATTTTATTGGGGTCTGCATGAAAGAGAAGAAAAGGAGAGGAAGAGAGCAGCCCCCTGAGCCAGTTTTGGCTTTACAAGTGTTGATTAGGCCATGTGGCAGTTGCTGATTTGCAGGGTGACTCAGGAATAGTGGTGACTGGCAGGGTTTTTATTAGGAAAGGGTGATTAGAAAATGTGTCTTGAGGGAATTTTTGGAGAAAAATTTTGACTTTGGCGCCCTTGAGACAAGAGGTGGAGGGGTAAGGGATTGTGTAATATTCTTCTGTAGAGATAGAAACTTCAGTGGGGAGAGACCCAATGGGGCAAATAAAACCTAATGCCAAGGTCTCTTGAAAACCCAACATTCCTCCCTTCTTCTTTTTGTTTGGACTCAGGGCATTGAAATCTTCTGGCTACTTCCTGTTGGAGTGGGACAACGAATTTGAAGGAAGGGAGGAATGGTCAGGTTTGGGGGACAAGAGAATTATAGCCATAAAGGCCAGGGTGCTAAAGATGCAAATTTCCTTGGCGTTGAAATCGATGAAAGTTCCTCGAAGCCATAGGTCATGGATAGCCTCAATCCAATCCTTGTCTGTATAAATGGGTGGAATCAGCCAGCTGTGTTGTTGGAAGGCTTCCACAAACTGCAGGAACCTGGAGTGCCACTTGGTGAAGCTGGATGAGGCCATGCTGCCTGAGGTCCTGAGGTGGCTGATACCGACAGCTCTCAGTGAGCTTCACACTTACTTCTCATTCAAGGTTGGGAGAGAGGGCTAAAAGCTGGGTTTTGTTGTTGTTGTTGTTTGTTTGTTTGTTTGTGCATATTTTCTGCCTTTTAACATACATTAGAAAAATTCCCTTCATGAGTACTGTCAAAAAATTGTCCAGTATGATGGTGCATGCCTCTAATCCCAGCTACCCAAGAGGTTTAGGCAAAATGATTCCATGTTCAAGGCCATCCTGGGCAACTTAATGAGATCCTTTCTCAAAAATGAAAAATTTAAAAATATAAAAAAGAATTAGAAATGTAGCTCAGTGGTAGAGCACTTGCCTAATATGTGCAAGGGCCTGGGTTTAATTCCCAGCACAGCCCCCACCAAAAAGAAGAGTATAGAAAAAGTTTGAGAAACTGTTTAAAAATTTATTAACTAAAACAAGGGAACTTTTAAAATTATTTATATTATTTAAATTAACATTTTAAAACTAATTTCTTCTAGGCCTTTAATAATTAGAAAACCATGCCTCTATATGAGGCAAATTTTCTATTTTCTACTTGACCATAATTTTTGAAATAATAATATTCAACTCAAATTCAACTAGAGCTTATTTTATAGTGATAAGAGGTATACACCTAATAAGCTAAATTCATATTTCTATAATATTATCCTAGTTTATATATTTTCTATTGTGATTATTCAATATTCTGATTTCATTATACATTAAATCTATATTTAAGACTAATTCTGCATTATTAATCCCATTCTATTTACCTATACAGTGTGTTAACATTATTTGCTTTCTGATCTAATAATTTAGTACTTCTCACATTTTTATTCTTCTTTTAAAAATATATTGACAAATGTATAGTTTTTATATACCACTGTTTTCTTTTTACAAATCCAGGATCAAACTGTAAGTATTATTCTGCAACTTCTCTAATGAATACTTAGATGACTGACATATTTCAATCTTTATATGTCAAGCTGTATTTTTTAGTTACTTGTTGCATGCATTTTAGATTTTAATATTGGATGCATAAATATTACTTATGTAACCTATAAAGATATAATAGTAATGCAAAAGCCAATTTGGGTTAATGTATCATCAAATGACAAACTATATATTATGTACATAAAATATATAATATATATAAATATATACATGCACACATATTTTAAGTAGTTATTCAAGATACATTTTTGTTTCTAAGAGGTAATAAATGTTCTATGAACTACAAATACCTCAAGTTATTAATCTCACTACATTTTTTTTATAAAGAATACTAGGCCACCTGAGAATTGAACAAGAAATGGTTTAAAATTAGGTCCTGGGTAACATGGCCTCTGGCTGTGAATTTTATATTCTAAAAATACAAATTCTTTTAGAAAGGATGTTGATGTAAGGGGATGAGCACCATCGTTCTAAGTTCAAATAGATTAGTGACTCATTTATTTGTTTTACCTTGATATTTTGCAGTATTATGTTTAAAATACCAAGTTTTAGAATTCAAATACTAGTTTTAATAGAAAAGATCTCTAAAATAATAGAGGACTTGAGGGTTGTTTTAGTTCTGTCTTTTAAAAAGCTGTATAATAAGTAAATAGCTTGACTTCTCTGAACTTTTATTTCTTCATTTTAAAAAATGGAGAGGGCTACAGTAAGTGATCTTTTACATGTACTTAAGCTCTACAAGGTCTCTCACATTCAATTAGGGATGTCCAACTGTACACCATATCAAAAACTTTCAGAGTTAAGAGAAAGGCTTTAGAGATCACCTATCCTAACCCTCTCAGAAATTCAACTATACATATATAACTGACCCTAAAATACAATATGATTTTCCTCATGTTTTTCAAGACCATTTAACTCCTATGTCTAACCAGAAGATTTCTAGTCCAATTTAGAGGTTAACATGTATCTATTCCAGGACTAACATACTGGAACAAGTTTTCCAATTCAAGTTTTTATCAAAAGCACCTTTAATGAAAATTTTCTTTGAAAACATACTTGCTTATACCAGAAACAGGCAGAACAGATCTTTATTTGATACACTTTGAAAGAATTATTTGCATATGTACTAGGTAGTACTCACAGAAGAAAACAAAGGTTACTTACCCATGATCCTTTTTCAGTGCTTCTACACTACACAGCAATTCAATAATCTGGGCGCGAAGTTCATCTAAGGAATTTTTTTTGCCATCATCTGTTTCTACTTTAGATTTTATTTCTAATGGAGTTAGGAAAGCAGATGTATTTGCTTTAGAAGTATTTGAAGGTGTTGAAAGGTAGACAGATGGCTGAAAATATAATAAAAGTTTCTTCTGATCTTATTTGTATACATAAATGTATATTACATTTAAGCACAAAAGATACTCAGAGCAAAAGATGTTTAAAAATAACAATGCAGACTGAACATCCCAGACCTGAAAACTGGAAATTCAAGATGCTCAAAAGTTCAAATCTTTGAGTAGCAACTTTCCACAAGTGAATAATTCTATACCTGATTTTATATAATGGGTTAAGTCAAAATGTAGGCATACTAAAAACACTGTATAAAATTACCTTCAGGCTTTGTGTATAAGAAGTACATAAAACAAATAAATTTTGTACTTCATCTTGGGTCCCATTCTCAAGATATCTCATTGTACATTTGCAAATATTACAAAATACAAAAGAACTGGAAATCTGAAACACTTCTGGTCCCTAGCATTTTGGTAACCTGTACTCCAAGATAACGGTAAATTTGAAAATTCAAGAAACAGTTTGATGTTCCTGACTGGAAAAAAACAACAGACAATTAAAGAATTAATTTGCAACAACTAGTGGATTTTGTGGAAGAAATAAATGGCAATGGCTTTGTTTTTAAAAAGGAGAAACAAAAAAAAATCCATCAAATTTATCTTATGTATGCTGTGCCTACTGGAGAATCTAAAAGCAAGAATATATAAGTATTAATAAGGTGTTACTTGATCTTCCATATTAAACACATATCATTTAGACTATCTAAAAAGGCTGACTTAAAAGTAATTATGAAAAAATTTAGAATGATCATGGAAGCAGCATTAAGATGAATCCACGTACTGGAATCGTTTTTGTAGTAAAATAAAACAACAAAGCCATTTTAGTAAAATTCCAATTGATTGTCAACTGCTTAGAGAATGAGATTTATTTGTATTTAATAAATTGCAAATGTATCCAAATTCCCTGTAATAAAACTAAGGAACAACTTAGGAGGAGATGTGACCTTTTTAAGTATATGTGTCAGTTGTGGTAAAAATATTTTAAATAAAAATAGCACAAGTTTAGAAAAGATACCTAAGACCGTGTAACAGATAGAAGGATCCATGTATTTTGCCATTCATTCCAGTATATACTGAGTGTTTAATTATGGTGCCAACAACCAAGCTAGGTAAAGAGTAAAGAAATAATGGTTTCTGATCTAATTAAGTGTTATCACTCTTTTAAAAGTATGTGGACTAGACATTTTCAGAGTATATGTTTAATAAGAAAATAAAACAGATATATAAATCTATGCCTTAAAAATATGAAATAAGTAACATTATTAATTTTAAAAACAATATAAGCTCTTCTAAAAATATCTGACTTAAGATTAACAACTCAAGGGAGAGAAAAGGGAAATTGCATGGAAATGGAAGGAGACCCTCATTGTTATACAAAATTACATATAAGAGGTTGTGAGGGGAATGGGAAAAAAAAATAAGGAGAGAAATGAATTACAGTAGATGGGTAGAGAGAGAAGATGGGAGGGGAGAGGAGGGGGGATAGTAGAGGATAGGAAAGGTAGCAGAATACAACAGTTACTATTATGGCATTATGTAAAAACGTGGATGTGTAACCGATGTGATTCTGCAATCTTTGTAATGTTTTGAATAACCAATAAAAAAAGAATAATAATAAAAAAGATTAACAACTCAATTCCTCAAAAAAATTATTTTATTTCTTGGCAGAAGAAATAATTTTTAGAAAATATACTAAATTCTATAATTCTGATGTTCACAAAGAATCCTGAAAACTATACAAATGTTATAGCATGATGTGACTCACCTTTGGAACGTAGCATGTATCCTTTTTAAATTCAGATGGCTTTAGATTGGCACTATCTTCTTCTTTTGATAACTTCAAAGTTTTTTCTGGGCTTTGAGTTGGCTAGATGATTTTTTTAGAAATCAAGAAACAGAACAAATCAAAGAAGGAAACTGTAGTAGGCATTTGGATAATAAAGAAAATTACTTATACTACTTCACTTGCTACTATTCTTGTTATTTCATTACTCTTAAAAAGATATTATGTAACTTCAAGCTGAATAACACATTTGCATATCTTGAGGGCAAGAATAACTCATCTCACAGCAACAAAAATTTTTTCCACTTAAGTAGGATAAAAACATCATAGTAAATACAAGTTAATATACTATCATTAAAGTACAACCTGTATTCCAGGCAAAAAACAGAAAGCATAATAACAAGTTACTTAGATAATGGGAAATGTACTACAAAAAAATCCTGAATATTTCCAAAGAAAAAAGTTTCTCATTTTACCCTAAAATGAGTTATCTTCTACTTTTCAATCTTGATCACTATTGTTAGATTAATAGATTGAACAGGTTCCCTGTCCTCATTTGACCCTGGGCTGTGTGGTTATGGTCTTATAAAATAATCTATTCCAGACCATATTGAAGAACATATCTCTTTCCTTGTTATTTTCTTATACATCAGCTTTTGCCATTTGACTGTAAGAGGTACCTCTCCTGATTTATTTAGATGTAGCTATAAAACCTCTAATTTTCTCATCTTCAAATGGACTTTGTATTTGCTAAATCTTCTGAGTTTTCCTATAGTAAGTGTAACTCACAGAATGTCCACCATTGAAGCGACCAGGCAGTCTTCTTCCAGGCATCTTCGGTCTATTTGCAGTGAGATGTAACAAGTTTTCTGAGGAAGCTATGTCATCAAAATTTACAACATCTAGAGAATAAAAATAAATATTGTCTACTGAGATATAATTGTACCTTTTAAGGGGTAAAAAGTAATGTTTCTGGCTTTTGAACAAAAGAGTACCACTACTTTGAAGGACTAACAAGTTGACCTGTGCTTTTCATATGCATTTGGAAAACAACACCCTTAAGATAGAATCACACATTCCTTTTACTTGATACATTTTATAGTACAAGACTTTATAAACAATAAGGGTTATGTTTTCAATAGATATTTAGACTTCAACAAAAAGTTTTTATTGAAAGATAAATCTGTACCATAAACTGTAGTAACACAGAAACTATCATCTGAAGTTCTTGCTTATTAAAAAAAAAATGATCTACTTAAAACTTCTAATTAATTACAACATCATAAAATTTGTTTTAAACTTAACGTAGTGGACTGATATTCAAATTTTAAGGATCCAACTGTATCTGGCACCTTGCTGCTCTCTATTTGCATTTCTCAGTGTAAAGCGAAAGTATGATTTTTACTGATTTATTTATTTTTGGTACCAGGGACTGAACCCAAGCATGCTTAACCACTGAGCAACATCTCCAGCACTATCTATTTTTTTGAGACAGGGTCTCACTAAGTTGCTGAGGCTGGCTTTGAACTTGCAATCCTCCTGCCTCAGCCTCCCAAGCTGCTGAGATTACAGGCCAAAGGTATGATTTAACATGTCTTCATATGGGATGTTACAGTTAGAACTAAAACTGTTTTAGCATCTATGCATAGACATTACCATTTGTAGAAATCATAAGATAGTTATAAATCTAAGGCAAATCAAATACCAAGGGAAAATGCTATAAAGATCAATCTGCTTCTCTACCATCAAAGGCTGAATGATCTTTGACCCAAAAATTTGGGTTTAAAGAAGAATCTAGGTAAGTCATACCTCTGAAAGAATGGTATGCATTACCTTGCCTTTTCCTAGATAATCCATAAAATCATGCTAAAGAAGTAGTTGTAACTCTGAAGCCCAGGTATCTATACATAATAAAAGAATCCTACCAGTAATTCCTGGTACTTCCATTGTTACTTGTTACTGGTTTAACCCAGATTCCAAGCCAGGGATATTAACCACAGCCAAATGGCAGCAGATATCCTAATTTTCCAGGCCTGGATTTTTTTTCTCCCCTTTAGCATTTGCCTGGATGGTTATAATACTTTGTTAGATACTACGATGTTGCAACAGTGATTTGTTATTGCTTAAAATATTCATCATCACCCTCAATGTTTAATTCATCAAATTTCATATGAAAATAATTTTTAAAATTTTGTTTTAAGGAATAAGTGACACAAATGTAAGGCAAAAAAAGAGGCATCACTGTTTGGCAATATGTATTTTAAAATTGGAAGCAATGGTTGACTACTGCTAATGTTTTTCTATAGATTACACTGTGTGTTCTCTCTTTGATCAAGTCACTAAGATAATGTATCACAACAGACACTGCAATATATTAAGGTTAATTTTTTAGTCTCTTGGTGACTGTAACTATATAACAAGTCATAGCAAGAAATAAAGACTGCAGTGGAAAATGTATTATATGATCTAAAAAAGGTGTAATTTAAATATATACTTATATAAAGGTCATTCTATCTGTAAATAATTGTTTTGTTTTGCTTTGGTGGTACTGGGGATTGAACCTAAGGGTACCCTATCATGGCACTACAACCTAGCCCTTTTTATTTTGAGACAAGATTTCACTAAATTGGTAGACTGTCTTGAAAGTTGAAATCCTTATGCCTCAGCCACCCAAGTAGCTGGGATTACAGGTGGATGCTGTCTATATATTTGTAAATATCTTGAAAAAGAATCAGTATTTTTTAAAAAGTATATTAAGAATAGGATACGGTTGGTTAAAAATTTCTTTTTACACTGACAAATGTACACTGATAGCCCACAAAACACTTTGAAAAATAAAAATCAATCATTTTGGCCTATAAAGATTATTTTCAAATGCATATTTAAGCAACTTGTAGAAAGAAAACAGAGAAACATGGAAGAAATTAAAAGAAATGAAAACAAAGGGTAAATAAACGTAGATTTACAAAATACACCATGCTTATATAATAGGCCTTCCAAATGTCCAGTTTGGGGGCTACAACACCAAGACAATTTCACCATTCTAAAACTCTCTCAGGTTCTCCATTTATGCCATTATGTTAGTAATACAGAACAGTGCACATTTTTGACTCATAATATATCTAAATGATTTTAAGTTTACTTAAAAGTCATAACAATGAATTTACACTATACAAATGGCACAAAAGGCATGACCATAACTTAACTCTTGTAATTACACCTCGTCACTCTGACAACTACTTGTGCTTTTGCATGTTGGTAGGAAGATATGGAACGTTTTTAAAAAGCCAAGTGAAATCTCCAATTTTAGGAGCAAATAACCTGATTTTTATGGTTGCCAAGGTTTGAAAATTTTTAAAAACCTTTTGTTACAGGAATATTTTAGGCTGTAATCAAGAAAAAATTTTCCAAAATGAACTTCATTTTATTTTAAAATGGAAAACCAAAAGGGTTAGAATAAATAGACAGACAGACATGTACACTTTCAGTAAAATTATAAAGAAAAAAAATCAATGTGCACCACCTATTTATACTGAATGTACTATTTTGATTTCTTTTATAAGTTGTTATCTTACCAAAATGGAGAAGGGTAGGATAATTTCCTGACACGTAAGAAGGGAAACATGGCAAACAGGCTAGGAAACAAAATCTGGAAAGAAAAGTCAAGGATAGGAATGTCTAGAAAAAAGACTAAACCAAAAAAATTATTTCACAAAGCAGGAAAAAGGAACAGTTGTAGAATGAATAGAAGCATTTCAATGTTTAGCATATAGCTACTGCAGGTTATGTAAACTTACACAAGATATGTATTAGATAGATTTCTGGGTCATTCAAAAGAAAAAGTTAAGATTAGTATTAATATCAATACACATTAAACTAGAAAGAAGCCTTGTTTTATTACTCACTAAAAAAATAAAGATAGTTTTTAAAAGGATGGCACAATACTTTAAGAGGCCAGTTTTATAAATCAATGTTAACATCTCATAAAATAATTGCAACTAAAATTAAACCACCTTTCAGTCAGTCAATTCTAGTCTTTGGTGTATACAGAAATTACAATAAAGGAGGCAACTTTAATCCTATGATATTATAAAATAAAAATGACAAATATTATTTTAAAAATATCTCACTATAAAAATTCAATACAACCTTTAATATATCTTCATACATAAATAAAAATTTACCAAGGCCTTAATCAGTTTTACTTTCTATAATATAATCGAGGAAACTATTATTAGAAACTAATATTTTTAATCCTTGTTTAGATAAGAGACTCACTTTTGATAGCATCCTCTACTCAATAAGAACCTTATTATAAAAATCCCACCATAAATTCTTTCTGAAAGAAAGAAATCAGTTAATATTTGGAAAGTAATTCACACAAAAAGAGACAAAGTATAAAATAAAATGGAAAGGAGAGAATGCTTCCTTATTCCATAATGACTGCTTTGGGAATGAAGAACTTATGTTTTCTAAAATTTCATTTTTTAAATGTATTTTTATTAGTGAATTTTACATAATCATGGGGTTCATTGTGACATATTCATATATCCACATAATAAAATTTGATCAATTTCCTTCTCCAGTACCTGCTCTTCCCTCTCCTCCTACCTTCCCCTGATTGCCTTCCTCTACTACACTGGTCTCCCTTCTATAACATTTCATTTTAATCCTGGAAGAACTTATCAAAAAAAATCAAAAAAGATAAAATACTACACTGTAAGGGTAACTTACATCAGCTGTAATAGCTATGTTAGTACTAAAGTCTAGTATTTTAAAATAATTTACTTCTCAGAAAATTTATTATTGTAGAAGTATTTTAGAAAAATTCATTATTTTAAAAATATGTGGACCTTGTGAACTTTATAAATGACTAGCAGTGTCAGTAAGATTTTCCTTAAACTAATTTTTAATATAGTGTTTGAAAAAATGAAAAAAAAATCCCACTAAAATATAGTTCCTAGTAGCCCTGTAATTTGTAGTGCTATATAATATGTGAGAACATACAAGGGGGAACTCAGTTATATCATGCCATTAAAAAGGAGTAAAGAAAATATTATTCTAGGAGTGACTTTCTTACATGTACAAAAGTCAGAATCTGTGTGTATATCTATATATAATTAGTATTATACATAAAGACATAAATGTTTATATGTAGTTTTATATAAACAGGACAATTTTATGTGATAATAAAATGAGGGCCATATGTCTTTTATAAATTAAAGATGAAACAAATTTCCATACCAGGTGTTCTAATGGGTATTAGTAGATGTACTGAATCATAAAATGTTAGCTAAGTAAGAAAACAGATTTTGAGGAGAAACTTATCAATAATAAAACCCACTTTTTTAAAATAGCAAAGTCAGTATACATTATACTATATCATTTCTACTATATCTTTTACTTCAAATTATTACTTTAACTGAAAATGTCAATAAGCTGGTTTCATGTTTTACATTTTCTGTAACTTATGAATTAGTTTTATGCATTATTCTTAAAAGGTATATCTTCAAACTAAGTAGAAAATATGAAGTTTACATAAACCTAATGCCAAATTTAAAGCTGTACTTGAACTAAAACAATTTTTTAAGAAGTGTTAATAACTCACAGAAGAGTTAGAACAATACTTTTATATTTCAAGCACAGATATAATATTCCTAATCCAAAACCCCAAAATCAAATACGCTAAAAAAAATCAACTTTTTAATGAGCATCATCAACATGATGCCACTTACAAGTAGAAATTTCTGCAGGAGACTTCATGTAATGGGTCACAGCCAAAACACGGATTTATTGATAATACTGTACAAAATTACTTCAAAGCTACATGTATAACAAATATTTGAAACATAAAAGAATCTTATAATTTGCTTTGGTTCCCATCCCCAAGATATCTATCTCATTATATACATGTCCCTCCAAAATGAAATTCAAAATATTTCTAGTTCCAGACATTTTGGATAAGGGATTATGTATATGTAAATATCCCACTTGCCCGCCATCCCCCTGCCATGTCAAAATAAATAAATAAACTCTTAAGGCATTTCTTGTTTCAAACATTCTGGATAAGGGATACTTAACCTATACTAGGACAATATGACATTCTAATGGGGGGAAAATAGTATACAAGGAAAGAATTAATGTTTAGGACATAAGCTGTTTGCTACCTACAACTATGTCTTTTTTTTTTTTTTTGTATGAGATATCAAACCCAGAGGCCCATAACCACTGAGCCACATCACAGCCCTTTTATGTATATATTTATTTAGAGACAAGATTTCACTGAGTTGAGTTGCTTAGGGCCTTGCTAAATTGTTGAGGCCAACTCTGAACTCAGTGATAGCCCGCCTCAGATTCCAAAGCCACTGGTATTATAGGCCTTCAGTACCATGACCAACCAGCAACTCTTTTATCTTAGCATACTACCAGTATCTAAAAATATTTTCTGGGAATAAAGCAATTGCTTAGTAAACATTTGCTACTTAATATAAATTCAAATTCCCCAAACTTATATTTTCTAAACTTTGCAGGATTACAGTGTTTTATGCCAAAATTAGTTTTGTGAGCAAAATAGAAGACAGTTGCTTGGAAATTAGCTGCTAATTTTCTGATTTGTATAAGTCTTAGCATCTTTACATTATTTCCTTATTTATTAAAAAAAAATTTAAAAACAGAAATTAGAAATATTCAAACTCTATTCCACAAAGCCTCTTTCTTTAAAGAATAAATAACTACTATGTCAATGAGGCAAAAAATGGAACAAAAACAAAGTTAAAAACTAAAACTTTCCAATCTCCAACAGTTTGAAATAATTTTATATATATTATTTCCAATAGAAATGCAAAAAACAAAGTACGTTTGTTGTTGAATATATTTACAAAAAGTCTTGGAAAAATGTGAAAATTAGTTTTATCTAAATTTTAAAAGATTTTTTCACTACTTTGAAATTAACTAAATAAAGCAAAAATTGATACAAATAACAACAACAACAAAAAAAATACAGATTCTAAATGTCATTACTTTAATCCCCAAAAGACTCCACCAAAATTTAAGTATTTTCTGATCAAGAATGTAGAAAATTATGAAAATTCAAAGATAATACTAATAGTTTTTTTAACTTATTTTGAAAGTTAAAATTGTGTAAACAACCTTTTTTTTTTTCTTTAAGGATTATTTTTAGAAAACACTTTTCTGGCTATATTTTAAATCAAATGGAAAAACATGAGCTGACAAGAACCCATTTTTAACTACTAAGCTCCATAATAAAAAGATAAAGATTTTTAAAAAATACTTTTTTCATTTTTATTAAAATAGTAAATAAGTTAATTTTTACCAGATAAGAAATACTAAGTATATTTCAAGACTTTCTCAAACCTATAATCAACACCTCAATTACCAGAAATGAGTAATGAATACAGCATCATAAAGGGCAGTTAATATCCAAATAAATGGATTATAAAGTATTCAAAAGACTGAAAGGAGGTAACACTTAAGACAGAGGCTTTGCATTGGCAAACTGAAAAGACAGAAGAAAAATAAGATCACCTGGAAAAAAGTTTGAAATGTAAATATAATATAGTGGGGAAAAAAATCTAAACATAACTGAACTTGAAGTTCATAAAATGTTAACATGGGAGCAAAAACAAATACATTAAGACATTAAGATTTTGTAAAAAGAATATTACAGAGCACTTTATAGAAAAGGGATTTAAAGAGTTCTCTTTTGATTTATGTAATTGTACATAGTTGATATGTCTATAGCTTACTGTTTAAATGTTAAATGGAGAAAAACTGCATCTGTTTCCTAGAGTTTACGTTGTAAAAATAAAATAAAAACATGAAAAAAGTGTTTTGAAAAATATAAAAAACTAAAAACTAATTTTGCAAGCACTATACAAAATAATAACCATTACCACAAATGATTCTGATTATATAAAGTTTTTAATAGAGACACCTTTATCAAGACGCCTGTTTCAAGTTTTTAATTTTTCAATTAATACAGTATAAAAAACGAGGAACATGTTTTTTAGTCAGTCCTAAAGCTTACAAAATAATATTTAGCAAAAAAAGTGACATGACTTCCTATATTGGAAAAAAAGTATCTCCAGATTAAGAGGAAATATCTAAAAAGTCTTATTAAATATAAGCTAGTTCGGCACTGAGAGCCTGTGTCATCTTATTTTTTTTAACTATTAAAACTAAATTGCACTTATAGGTGCCTGATTTAGGTAATATGGTCATTCTATTATAAAGGAAAGAAATAAAAGATGAATGAGCTTTTAACATGGATTTCAGTCTTTTGAACACTATGAAAACTTATTAATTCTGTATTATCATCAGTAGGAAACTCCTGATCAATAAGAACCATGAAGATCTGCCCATTTATCTTCTTTATTTTTATACTTTGGTTAATACATTTAAGAAAATTTCAATGAATTTCCACTATAACTATCTACACAGAAATTGCAATATACACTGCTTAGTTCCTAAAAACTGAGATTCCTTTGATTACTTCTTTTAATGTACTACCTACTTCCATGATGACTTACCTGTTTCTTTAGAACTTCTTGCTATAAATGAATCAAGGTCCACTGATTTTGGTCTAGGTGGCAACTGTTCAGATTCGGGCTTTGGTTTGGATACTGGCTCGGTTTCAAATTTTGATGAAACGGTAGAAACTTCTCCATTGATCCTGAAATGAGAAAAACAAACATACAAAATCACTTGAACTGAAAAACAACTTTTAAAAAAAACTGTGATTTGGTGCTGGGCATCTATAATCCCAGTGACTTGTAGCTGAGGCAGAAGGACTGTGAATTCAAAGCCAGCCTTAGCAACTTAGTGAGGCCTTAAGCAACTCAGCAAGACTCTGTCTCTAAATAAAATACAAAAACAAGTTGAGGATGTGGCTCAGTGGTTAAGCACCCCTGTGTTCAATCTCCAGTAACAAAAAAAAAAAAAAAAGGATTTGGTGACATTAAAGACTGTATAAACATAAGACAGATTGCTTTCTATTCTATAACACTATTTCCATAAAATTAAACCTACTACAGTAATGTTCACAATAAAATAAGAAATGTAAATATAGTTTGAGTGTATTCACCTACTGTGAGTATAACAATTAAGAACACTATTATAGTCTTTTGAGGAAATATAAACAATACTTTAAAAATTACTTTGAGATTTAAAAAGGCAATAGAGTTCAGTTAGGTCAAAGGCAGGTAAATCAATAAGTAATTTAAAATTAGGTAAAACTTACTTGGCTATAGGAGGTGGTGGGGGAACTGGTTTTTCAGGTCGCTTTGGGTAAACTGTTCCAGGAGATCTTAATAAATTATTGGCTTTGGTGGGTGGAGTAGGCTTCTTGGGTGGGACCTGTGGAGCAGCTGGTTTAGAAGGTTTCTGTTCCAGTGTTTTTTCATCTGAAGATTTAAAAATATTTAACAAGTTATTAACAATCAAAACTATTTAGGTTTCTCTATTTATTGCAACTACTGAAGGCAGCCATAGGCATGAACTCATTGTCTATAACCATATGTAAATGCATTATTTCATTTGTTTTAAAGTTACACTTTATTAAGCATCATGTAACTAAAAAAGTTTCCTTTAGTTGGGACAGAAATCATTAATAACCTTCTGATTAACAAATAATGCCTGCTTTTAATTATGTTCCCAGAATCCTCTGCTTTTAGGGGGTAATATTTTTTCTCAAATATACCACATATAATTTAACTACAAGCAGAAAATTATCTAGACTTGAGCCGGATTATTTTCTGAAATGGAAGTATAAGGAACTAAAAATAAAAAAGAACTGTAGTACATATAAAATTCTGATTTAAAAATCATAATGATGGCAAAGAAAAAAAAAAGATCAAATGCTAAGAAAAAGTGACACTAGGCCAATTAGCCACATGAAGGAATACAGGCCTGTACTAGGAATTTTATTAGCCCTGTTTCATGTAATAATTCCATCTGACAAATAAGAATATGCTGAATAAAGAATATTAAGAATAATTTCATGCCTTGTTAATAAAAATTTTATCACCAAAAAGGCATTGAACACTCTTTGGTGCTACATATACTTTTTCATGTACTAAGAATAAGTATTAAAAACTCACATATGTTCACATATAATTCAGATTCATGATACAACAAACAGTTAGAACGTATCATAAGGTACATTTCCAAAAATAAGAAACTATTTAGTGCAAAACTGAATGATTCTACCTCTTCTTTGAAGTTTATTTGGTCTTTGAAAAGACTATCAGAGGACCACAAACAATTTTATGAAATTTCCTATCAGTTAGAAATTGGTGATCATGAAACCTGAAGAAACACCACAGGGCATGGTAAAAACTCCTCCTTTAAAATTATAAGTTTCACCTCACAACAAAAAAATACAAAATACTATTGCCTCAGTCTTACCATTTACTTAATAACTCCCTTGGCTCTTGCGAAAAATATGAGTCCGTTGAAACTGATTATCATTTAGTACAAATATCTATTTTTATATGACCTCAAGACATAACAATGCATAAAAAATTATACCTAATTCTGACCCTAATCAAATAGAGCTTTCCTTGATATTTTAGAAAATATAAGAAAAACATTTTATAAAAAATAACCAGGAAAGGGATGGGGTATAGCTCAATGAGGGAGGGTTTTCTGGCAAGCACAGGATCCTAATGGTGGGGGAAAGAGGAAAGGGTGAAGGGATAAAGAAAAAATATCAAAGAAAAAATGTCAAAGGCTAAACAGAGTTCACTAATTTTTAACAGATTTACAAATAACTTGAAAATAGTTTTGTGTATAATTCCAAAACAACCCCCCCCAAAAAAACAACCACACTTAATATTCATAGAAATCAAAACAAAGGAAAAGATTAATTATTCCTGGTATGTCCAAGACTATATTACTAATAATACAATGGCAATGTACTTGAGTACTTATGTTATTTTTGTTGTTGTTGAGGACATTAACATAACAAAAAAATCAATAATTTTAAAATGAAAAAGTCAGTACCATTTCATATATTTACAATGATATGCAACTTTACAGTTTTAAAACACTTCTATTACTCCAAAAGAACAGTTTGTTAATCTATTACTCACCATTCACCCCTCCATTTAATTTCTAACAATCAGTTATTTGCCTTCAAACTCTATGAATTTACCAATTCTGAATTATTTCTGACTTGTGAAATCATACAACATATAACCTTTTGTTCAAATTTAACATAATATTTTCGAGGTTCATCCTTATTGAAGCATTTATCAGTATTTCATTCCTTTTTGTGAATGAATAATAGTCCATTATATGTATATAACACAATCTGATATACCTTGAAGGACATTTTGATTGTTTCTATTAACATTCAGGTACAAGTATACCTATTTTCAATTCTTTTGTCGGGTCATATAGTAATCCTACACTTAACTTTTTGAAGAATTATCAAACTTTGCTCACAACCACAAAAACATTTTATATTAGCATCAGCAATGTATACTCATTACTCCATGTCTTTGCCAACACATTATTTTCCTTTTTTTTTTTTTTAATTATAGTTATCCTAGTGGGCATAAAGTGGCAGCTCGTTCATTGTGGTTTTGATTTACATTTCCCTGAAGATGTTAAATATCTTGGCCATGTGCTTTTCAGCTGTTTTTATATCTCCTTTAGGAAAATAATTATTTCAGTGTTTTTCTCACTTTCAATGTTTTTCTGTTGTTGAATTATAATATTTCTCTATATATTCCACATATAAATCTTTGTCAGATATGATTTGCAAATACTTTTTCATTCTAGAGGTTGTCTTTCCAATTTTAATAATGGCCTTTGATGCACAAAACTTTTAATTTCGATAAAGTCCAAGTTAATTTTTATTTGTTGAATGTGCTTTAGGTGTCAGATTGTATAAAGTACAAACTATTTCTGTTAATAATGCTCTGACATCAAATATGTAGAATTTATTCCCAAACCAACCAGTACCAGCTAGCATCCTAAAATCCCACCTGGAACAGATCCCACAAACCAAGGACTCAGTCCTCTAGCACTACCTCCATTTCAGATGCCAACTGCAAGTCCAACCCTTTCATGCTCCCAACTAAATGGATATAAATTAGAGGTTCCTATGACCTCCTCCTCAAGTTTGATATTTGCTAGAATGGCTCACCTAACTCTGGAAGGCACTTTATTTCATATTTACCAATTTATTATAAAGGGTACAATTCAGAAACAGCCAGATAGATGAGATAATGTTACAGGGCAAGGTATGTGAAAAGAGGCACAGAGTTTCCATGCCTAGAATAGTGAATGGAAACACTTTTATATTGAAGGTTTCTCAAAAGGCTAGGCATGGAATTACCATATGACCCAGCTATGCCATTCCTAAAAAATTAAAGTCATCTTGCTATAGTGATACATGCATACCCATGTGCAGCACAGTTCACATTAGCCAAACTATGGAACCAGGCTAGGTGTCCATTAATGAATAAATGAATAAAGAAAATGTGATATATACACAAGGAGTTTTTATTCAACAACAACAATATAAAAGTGTTTCCATTGATTAACACTTTGCATTATTTACTAAGCTTTAGAGGTCCTACTGAGAAAGTCATTGCCTATGCCTATATGCTGAAATGTTGACCCTACATTTTCTCCTAGTTTCTTTTCTAATTCATGGATATTAGATCCATTTGAGTTTCTTTCTATGCAGAGTGAGAATTAAGGGTCTAGCTTAATTCTTTTACAGAAGGATAATCAGCACCATTTGTTAAAAAGGCTGCCTTTTTTGACAATATACGTTTATGTTTTGGCACCTTTATTGAAGATGAGATGACTACTGATATGTGGGTTTGTCTCTGTGTCTTCTATTCTCTACTACTGGTGTATGTGTTTGCTTTTATGCCAGTACCACAGAGTTTTTGGTAGTATAGCTCTGTGTTTATAATTCAAAGTCACACACTGTAACGCCTCGAGCATTGCTTTTTTGGCTTAATTCTTTGGCTATTTTGGATCTTTTATTCTTCCAAATGAATTTTAGGACAACTTTTTCTAGTTCTGTAAAGAATATCATTGGTATTTTGATGGGGATTGCATTGAATCCATGTATTGCTTTTGGTAATATGGTCATTTTAACAGTATTAATTCTGCTTATCCAGGAACATGAAAGGTGTTTCCATCTTCTCAATTTTTCTTCAGTTTCTTTCTTCAATGTTTTATAGTTTTCATTATAAAGGTCTTTCACCTCATTGGTTAGATTAATTCCTAAGACCCTTGTTTTTTTTTTTTTTTAAAGCTATTGTGAATGAAATCGTTTTCCTGATTTTTTCTCAACAGGATATATTATTGGTATATAGGAAAGCTATTAATTTTTGTATATTGATTTTGTACCTGCTACTTTGCCAAATTTATTAGCTCTATTAGTATTTTGATGAAATTCTTTA